ATTTCAGCAACTTGGATCAATCTCAAGAAAAGTTCGATCGATCCAACTTTCATTGATCTCAGCACTTCAAGATAGATCCAGGCCATGATGTCATCTTCAGAGATCCCAAAAGTTCGATTGATCCAACATCATTCTCTGATCGATCGAACCTTCTTGTCTTTATCCACATGCTAGATCTTATCCAGCTGTACCACCCTACCAACCACTTTTGTCCTTTTCCCAAAAATATCTTCAAAATATCTCAGATTTGTTTTTATTTAAAAAGGCGCCGCCATTGAGGATCGATCCAGCTTCAATTCAATAGATCTCAGCCTTGTTCGATCGATCTCACCTCAAGTTCGATCGATCGAACTTCCCAAATCCCGAGAAAAATCCAAATTCTAGCTCATTAAAAGTTGTCTCATATCCAATCATTAGAGGATTATTGGTGTACGAGCCCAGCTCATTTGGGGTGATTTTTGACCTACCTATATAAGGAATATGAGCCACTTTTACACATATACACTTACTTAGAGAAGATAATACTTAATGAGGAAGCAAAGGAGAGGAGGAGGTTAGAGACATCATTGGAGACTCTTTATCAACTAAGGAGCAGATTTCTTCCATGGAGCTTGCCCTTAAGGGTTGGAAGACATCATCCATGAGTGGCTAGACGTCCTCTTAGGGCTAGAGTTAGCCCCAAGTATGTTTTCTACTTCTTGATTTATGTATTTTTGAGGAGATTTGTATTATGATACATGTTTTGACACTTTCATATATATAGATCTTGTTTATTCAATGATTTATATGGTTTAATGCTTCCAATTGATCATTTCATTCTATCCATATGTCTATGTATGCTAGAATAGAACTTCATGTGTTTGTCTCTATTTCTTGTGTTATTAATGCATGTCTATGTGTATTGATGCTATAGATCTAGAGGTTGTCAAGACATAGTGCTTAATGGAATGTTCTTGTGGTTTGTTTGATGGTTCATACTCATTTCTTGATGGATTGTACCTCTCCCTTAGTTTAATTAGTTTAATTTCATGTCATTAGCTTAGTTGTAGTGTAGTTGTTAAATGGAAGAACAATCCATGCTTCTTGTTGATGTTCCATACTTATGAAAGCAAGTAACATATATCTCTAACCATGTGATGTGTTTGGATTGTGAGTTTAAAGAAAGGATTAATGGCTTAATTTGATATGTTGTGCTATCCACCATGTTGCTTAGACAATATATGCTTAATTTGTCATCCATGCTTGTTGGAACAACCACACACACACTTTGTTGCAATATATGTTCTTCCCCTCATTAATCATTCATTAAGGGTGTAGAAAAGCTATGCTTGGTGATGATCTCTAAACCCCAAGATCTCTCTCTCTTTTATTCTCCTTATTGCATTATTGTTTACTTTAGTTTAATTTGCATCTAGTGAAATTCAACCAACCAACCACTACTTTGATCACTCGACCTACTAACCCTAATCTTGATTCCTCAACCTAGTACAACACCTCAATCCCTTGGGACGATCCCTTCTCACTCATACTACATAGTATAGGTGTTAAGCGGTTTATAAATTTAAATTATGGTGCCCACTTAACACTAATTTCCAAACTCAAAGTGTTGTGCATTGTTTTGTGCGCACCCTCGAGAAGCCACCATGGTCTATGTGTTGGTGACGTGGAAAAAAAAGGCTTTTAGCGGGTTGCTCTTTTGCACATGCGAGAGACTAAAAGTGAGGGCGGAATTTTTATTTTTTATTTTTATTTTCATATTCACGAGAGGAAAATACTCCCTTAAAAATATATTTATCTACGAGTGACTTTTTCCTCGTTAAGTGAGGGCGGGATTTTTATTTTTTATTTTTATTTTCATATTCACGGGAAGAAAATACTCCCTTAAAATTATTTATCTACAAGTGGCTTTTTCCCCATTAAGTGAGGGCGGCGTTTTTATTTTTATATTCACGGGAGGAAAATACTCGCTTAAAAATATTTATCTACGAGAGGCTTTTTCCCCATTAAGTGAGGGCGGAATTTTTATTTTTAATTTTTATTTTCATATTCACAGGAGGAAAATACTCCCTTAAAAATATATTTAATCTACGAGTGGCTTTTTCTCCATTAAAGTTGAATCAATCCTTCATAAATATATGTAAACATTAACGGGCTCTTTAAACTCCCATGAAAACGGTTTTTAACGAGGATTCTATTAATATCCCGTGAAAACATGACCCTTTATGTGTAAAAAGGGGCTTCTATGAAAGAAAATAAAAGATCCCATAAATACTACCTCATAAAAGCCCACTTTTCTTGTGGTGCATGTTGGAGGTCCCAATAGTGCCCACAACCAAGCTTAGAGATCATGTGAAGCTTTGGTGAACCAAAAACAACATATTCAAACAATTTTATGCAAGTAGTCGCACCAATCTAGAAATGAATATCGGACTCGTTTGACTGCATCAATTGAATATATCCGATATCTTTTACACTAAGGACTTGCCTTTCGTGGGCACGATGAATCTGAAGATTCAAACAATCAAGGGAACTTCCTCATACTTTTGAGATTTTATGCTCGTCACAATGAGGATGTTAGAGCCATTGTATTGGAAAATGCTCCTGAAAATCTGAAGTTAACATCACCTGAGATTCAAAAAGAGTTTGTAAATGCCATTGCAACAGAGGTTGTCAATTTTATTATTAGAGATATTGGAGATGGATTTTTTTCTATTTTAATTGATGAGTCTCGTGATGTATTGATAAAGGAGTAAATGGCTATTATGTTACGTTACGTGAAGAATGGAAGTGTCATTGAACATTTTATTAGTATGGTACATGTTACCGATACAACTGCTCTCTCACTCAAGATGGCGATTGATAATATATTTTCTACACATGGATTGAGCATTTCTAGATTGCGTGGGCAAGGCTATGATGGGGCTAGCAATATGCAAGGTGAGTTCAATGGTCTCAAAACGCTTGTTCTGAAACAGAATGAATTTGTTTTTTATGTTCATTGTTTTGCTCACCAACTTCAGTTGGCTCTTATTGCTGTGGCAAAGAATCATGGCCAAATTTCCACTTGTTTCGTATTTGTTGCTAATGTGGTGAATGTAGTTGGAGCCTCATGTAAACGTCGTGATATGGTTCACGAGAAGTAAATTGCTGAAGTTATTGATGGACTTAACAAAGGCAAGCCCAGAAGTGGGCAAGGCCTAAATCAGAGTACTTCTCTTGTACGTGCAGGAGACACCCATTGGGGCTGACATTATGGTACTTTAATTAGCTTGATTACATTATTCTCATCTGTAATTGATGTTCTTAAGTTTATCGAAAAGGATGGATTGAAATCTAATTAAAGAGGCGAAACATCTATTCTACTTGGGTCAATACAATCCTTTAATATTGTATTCAATCTCCATTTGATGAAGACATTGTTGGGCATGACAAATGAATTATCCAAAGCACTACAAAGAAAAGATCAAGGTATCATGAATGCATGGAGCTTGTCAAAGTATGTAAGCAACGACTACAAATGATAAGGGATGATGGATGGGATTCTTTGCTTGATGAAGTTTCTTCCTTTTGTGAGAGACATGAGATTGATGTTCCCAACATGAACAATATGTTCATTACTCAAGGACGATGACGACGAAATGTGCAAGAAATGACAAACTTGCAATACTATCGTGTTGAGTTGTTTTATTATGTCATAGATATGCAACTTCAAGAGCTAAATAATCATTTCAATGAGGCCAATACTGAGTTACTTCTTTGTGTGGCATGTCTATGTCCAGATGATGCATTCTTGCTTTTGACAAGCAAAAAATCACTCGCTTTGCTGAATACTATCCAAAAGAATTTTCTACAGCCAAGCTCATAGAACTTGGAAGTCAACTTGAAACTTATATTCTTGATGTGCGCTCTAATATCAGGTTTGAAGGATTGAAAGGGATTTTTGCTCTTACAAAAAAAATGATTGAAACAGAAAAAGACAAGGTGTATCTACTTGTGACATTGGCATTAATCTTACCAGTCGCGACTGCCACGGTGAAGAGGGCATTTTTTGCTATGAATATTGTAAAGAATGAATTGCATAATCGGATGGGAGATCAATTTATGAATGATAGCTTGGTTGTGTATATTGAAAAAGAAATATTTAGGGGCATAGATAATGAAGCTATCATTCAACGCTTTCAAAAGATGAAAAGCCATCGAGGGTAGTTGTAATTGTATTCAATGAAATATTATCAATTAATATTTTGGATCTTATATGTGTCAAGTATTCTACTTTAGTTCTTTTTATTTAAATATCATATCAACTTGTTACCTGTTTAGCTCTTTAGATAAACAAATATATTCTTTTATGGGATTTTCAATTCACATTATTGAAGAACATTTAGTTTCCATCTTAGTTTAAGATAAAGATAATAAAATACAATCTTGTTTGCTTTGGTTGTCAAAATTCACTATGCGCTTGGAGACTCAGAGAGTGGGTATGATTGCTTTGGAATGGCTCCTAGACTCCTAGTTCACCTAGTATCTCACCTTGCCAGGTAATTACTTTTTTGTCTTCTGAAAATAGTAACTTTGCTCTTTTTTTTTTTTTTTTTTTTTTTTTTTTTTTTTTTTTTTATGTGAAAATTATATTTTTGCCATTGATTTTTTTTTTTTTTTTTCTCCTATCAAATACACTATGCCCCTGGAATGAAATTCTGGCTGTAAGTGTATTTATATGCACAGAGCTACCAGAAGCTTCACCAAGTAAATATGCATTAAACCATAAACATACTATTTATTAGCAGATACACACTTTAATACATAAGCACCACCCATATGCAAGACATCCTTGCAAGTACAAGTTTCTCCACACCCTAACACACTATTTATTAATAGCACATACATATAATTCATAGGAGCACCTCCCAAACTTTTATTATACATATATTTAATTGGGTCCACCATGACATATATATATATATATATATATATATATATATATATATAGGACTTTTTGCCTATTTCTTGAGGTGATGAGTTTCAATGTCTTTGGTGAGAGCAATGCAGAAGTCCATCAATGTAGTTGGATATGGGACATTGTCACTCAGCTTCTCATATTCAAAGGTCCATGTCACCAAGTTGCTATCACCGTTTGTATCAACATGAAACGTCACAGAGAAGTTCTTGTAAAGCTTCAGGAGATCTCCTTCAAGGACCTTGAAAGTGATGGACTTCTTTTCCTCGTCTATGGATTCGATAAGCTCTTTTGCAACACATGCTTTCCCATCTATGGATAATCCATAAAATGTATTATTACGAGAATGAATTGTATATAATGACTCTTCAGTCAAACCATGAATAGAGAGATCCATTTGTATCTTAATGAGTAACATGTTACTAATTGTATCATGTATTAATTTGCAGGCAAACCCAACAGTACGTGTGCATAAATATATACACACAGTGTGCACGTACTGTGTGTGTGTGTTTTTTTTTTTTTACAACATTATAGGCACCCGTACGTCTAGTGAAAAGAAAATCTGAAGCTAGCGTAAGATCAAAATTAAGGAATGAAGCTCCTGCTTGATTACAATGGTGAAAGACAAATTAAACAGTGTGAGGCTTATAGATCAAAAAGATGCAAAAGATTAAGGGCCAAGTTTGTAAGAATACTTCTCGAGATGAAAACAATACCAAGCAGGAATATGCTTAGTTTCTGTCTCAAAAAATAGTAACTCACTAAAACAACAACCTGTTTTCGAATAATTATAAAAGACACGTCTAAAAAAATACGAATCTTGCTTAGTTTATAACTCTGTAAACAATTCTCGATTATTTAGAAAATATAAAATTGTTTTATGATAATTATAAAAGGCAGTTCTATAAAAACATGCCTTTTTGTAACTAAGTCTTTAAAAAATAGTTTTCAGAAAACTGAATCAAGTAGAGTTTTATTTACAATTTTCTGATTTTCAGTTCTCTGTTTGCTTAGTTTGTAACTTTAAAAATAGTTCTCGACTACTTAAAAAATAGAAAATTGTTTTCAAATAACTATAAAAGATAGCTCTATGAAAACATGCCTTTTTGTAGCTGAGTTTCAGAAAAATGAATCAAGTAGAGTTTTTTTTTTTTTGCAGTTTTCTAATTTTCATTTCTATGTCTGCTTGGTTTATAACTCTGAAAACAGTTCTCAATAATTCAGAGAACATAAAACTGTTTTCAGATAATTATAAAAGACAGTTTTTTGAAAACAAATCTTTTTATAACTGAATTTTTAGAGACCGGCCAATTTATAGAAAATTGAATCAAGTAAAGTTTTTTGTCTAGATTTCAGATTTCAGTTTTCTGAAAACAGAAAACTATTGTCAAAGTTATAAACCACGTAAGTCTGCTAAAAACTCAGTTCTCCAAATATCAACCAAGGAATTTTTGTAAACAGTAAACTGAACCAAGTAAGCTGTAACTTCATGTTTTTTAAAGACTCATTTATAAACTAAAAAGGAAATCTGAAACTAGCATAAGATCAAAATTAAGGAATGAAGCTCGTACTTAATTACAATGGTGAGAGACAAATTAAATAGCATGATGCTTATATGTCAAAAAGATGCACAAGCTAGATTCAAGGCCAAATTTGTATGAATGGTTCTCGATTTTTATAGCAATGAAAACAATACTAAGAAGGAATATGCTTGGTTTGTCACTCAAAAAATAAAATTTAAAAAATCAAAACAAAAATATTTTAAACAATTATAAAAGAGACATTTCATAAGCCAGTTCTCGATTTGTCACTCGAAAAAATAGGTTTTTTGTAATTGAGTTTTTATATGCCAGTTCTTGAAATTATCGAACAAAGATTTTTGTAAATATAAGAGACTGAACAAACCAAGGTGGAATTATGTTTTCTCAGAACCCTCATAAAAACTGCATTATTTATTTATTTATTGTTATTATTAGTATTATTATTATTATTGGTAATTAAAAGTCCATGTTTTTTTGAGTTCTCAAAGTTTCTCAAACGGACGGGAGTGTAACCTTCCTATCCTCAAATAGGAGGAGACGAATTTGAGCCAGGCATGACAAAAAGAGTGTGTGTTTGCTATTTTAAAAAAATATATATATATATATATTCCTCGAACTCCATCTATTCAAAAATTTCATCTAAACATATGCTTAAAATTCCAATATATATATATATGTAAGAAGTATATGTTCGCGATCGCTTCACATTAGTGGTGTCTGTATCATGAAATATGTTTAAAAAACTACTGAACATAAGTTTGGTATATCTATATAATCATATATACACACTAGGACACACACAGATGTTTTTGTATGTGTATCATATATATATATATATATATATATACTTTTTAGTATTGTATACTTTCTAGGAATTTAGAAATGAGTGTGTTGTCTTACCATGGATATAATTCCAGAGGTAAATAGAGCCTACAGTGCCCCAATCACTCTGATGCAAACCACAACCCTGTATACAACCAGGACTGATGTTTGGTATGTCATGTGGTGTGTTTCTGAAGAGTTCATGAAACACATCACCACCAGACTTGATCTCTATTTGGGCTACCAACTTACCACATAAACCCATATTATCTCTTCTCTATAAAACCACCACAATATTAATTCAATAATTAATGCAATTGGAAGCAAGAAGGCTTGGAGAGCATACTTGCTGTTAGCCCCTTGACGGTTGTCCAAGGGAAGACATGGGCATTTCAAGGCCATGCCATGTCTTAGGAATACTGTGGCTTTGATTAGACAGCCATGAGGGTGCTCAGTGGGTTGTCAGCGTGCACAAGATGCTCAGCGTGCACACAAGATGCTTAAAAGGATGCTCGGCGTGCACTGGGGGTGCCCAGTGGCACTTTCGTAAATATGGCGAAAAGTGAAACTTGGAGTTTTGACTCGGGATCTTTATGGGAGATACCTTGAGTCCATAGAAGCTGGTTGGCGCAGACGGCACTTAATTTGGATGTCGGGAAAGGTCTGAAAGGCCATTATGACTCCTCAAGCATGGGTGATGTTTACTCCTGTCAGAGTGCTGGATTTCCTTAAGACTATATTAGGGGGGGGTCTGTTGAGCGCATCGGTTGGGCTATGGCATGGCTTGCTTAGAGGGCTTAGCCAACGTGCATGGGCACGTGTTGCACCACTCCAAGATGGTTGCACAAGTGGGGAGCATCCAAGATATTGAAGGGCAAATAAGTGTGCACCGACACGCGCGCTGGAGTGCAGCGGCGTGCGTGCGGGCGTGCAGGTTGGCGCGCGGGTAGGCGTCCAACCTAGTGTGCGCGAGCGTCTAGCTCGGCGTGCACATGGGCGCCCAGGTGGGTGTGCAGCCACGGGCGCATGAGGGTACAAACATGGCGCGCAAAGAAGGGCACTAGTGTGTGCGCCGGCGTGCACTTTGGTGTGCACCCGAGCGTGCGCACGGGCATGCATGGCTTGGCACGCCGTGCACTCAGAGACATATATATGTGGGTGCAGATTGGTGGACTTGGGCTAGGTTCACAAGGTTGACTCAGATGTGGCTAGAGCATGGATAACACAAAGTCATGGCTTGCGGTTACAAGAGGTGGTGGCTTAGTGGGCTCGGTTGGTTGGGGGAAGTTACTAGCACTTCCCACTCATTATGGGAAGTGGGGGAGTGCTGAGTAACCTCCCAAACATGTGGCACAATTCTGAGAGGACCAACACACAGGCGGTTAAGGGTGGTTTCCTCCACCATGCAGAATCTAACTTCTTGTGGTTATGTGGCATGAGCAGAACATGCCAACAAGTCTAGCAGTTGGGCTTGTCAACTGCATTATAGTGCTGGCTCATTTAGAGGGTGCCAGCACGACCCTAGGTGGATGGGGGTGTCATCCATCATCTTAGTGGGCAGTTATGGGCGGTTTTGAGAGTGGCCTATATAATGCTAAGGTGGGCTTTGTAGAGGGAACAGAGAAGAGGGTGTGAGCCTTGGTTGTTCCTTGTACGAACTCATGTTCCTTTGTAATATGTTTAATATGAGCAAAGGTTGGGGCTTGTCCCTGTAAACTGTGTGTGCCTTCTTTATATTTCTATATTGTGTGTATTGTGTTGTTGTGTTGGCTGAGACTTGGTGGCCCCAAGTGCCATTGCAGAGGCAAAAATTCGTGGTGTAATTTAGCCCTGTGACAATTGGTATCAGAGCCCTGTTCTACGATGGCTGGAGGTAATACTCGTGAAAGAGTTTCCCATTTGGAAGAGTTCGTGGGTTTTCCTACAGAAACAGAGGTACAAGATGGTGCAGAGAGCCTTGTTGTTCGAATTGAAAACTTGGCTTCTGAATTGGAGATCTTGAAGACTGATCCTGATGGGTTTGGTGACTTCATGCAGGCCACCAAAGAGCAATTGTCCCGTATCTCTGAAGATGTTGAGTCACTGACTGACGTCTTCAAGAAGAACCTGAAAGACCTTGAAGATGAAGTGTCCTTGGTGAAGAGGGCCATTCATGGGAGTTCCAGAAGCGGTGGTGATCCTCTTTCGCAGAAGATCAAGGTGCCGGATCCCAAGTCTTTCAGTGGTACCTGAAATGCCAAAGAGTTGGAGAATTTCCTATGGGACATGGAGCAGTACTTTAAGGCTGCTCGGATCCCTGATGGCGAGAAGGTGACCATTACAAGCATGTATCTGTCTGGTGATGCAAAGCTATGGTGGCGCACACGGACAGAGGACGATGCTTCTGCGGGTAGGCCTCGGATTGAAGTTTGGGAGACCCTCAAGAAGGAATTGAAGGACCAGTTCTTGCCTCAGAACACTGCATGGATTGCAAGGGAATCTCTGAAGAAATTGAAGCACACAGGTACCGTTCGTGACTATGTGAAGGACTTTAGTTCCTTGATGCTGGACATTCGAAATATGTCAGAGGAGGACAAGCTGTTCAATTTCATGTCCGGATTGCAACCATGGGCTCAGGCAGAACTCCGTAGGCAAGGTGTGAGGGACCTTCCTACTGCCATGACAGCGGCAGATTGTCTTGTAGATTTCAAAATGACTGGGTCTACTACACAAGACAAGAAGAAGTCCAAGGAGGGGAAGAAAGACAAAGGCCAGTCCTTCAGGTTCAAGGACAAAAAGAAGGACAAGAATCAAAAGAAGGATAAAGGGGGTGGCTTTGTCAAGGCCAAGGCAGATTACAACAACAAAGGGAGTAGTAGTGGGACTAAGCCCAACTACGGTTGTTTCATCTGCAATGGTCCCCATCGTGTTAGGGACTGTCCCAAGAGGGAGAAGTTGAGTGCTATTGTTGCTGAATCAAAAGGAGACTCAGACTCGGAATCTGGTCCAACCCGAGTTAATCCTCTGCAAATGCTGAATGCTCTTACTGAAGAACAGTCCATGGAGTTGAAAGGGCTCATGTTCATTCAGGTGACACTGAACGGCAAGGAAGTTTTGGCAATGGTGGACACGGGGGCCACTCATAACTTCATTGCGCAGAGGGAAGTAAGTAACTTTAATTTAAAGTTAATTCCACATGCTAATAAGATGAAAGCTGTGAATTCTGAAGCCAAGCCTGTTTTAGGCATGGCCACCACTTCTATGAAAGTTGGTTGTTGGGAGGGCGTAGTTAGTCTTATGGCTGTTCCCTTAGATGATTTTGATCTAATTCTTGGAATTGAGTTCCTTACGAAAGCCAGAGTGGTAGTTGTACCATATTTGGGAGGAGTTTTTATTTGGGACAGGAGTTGTCCATGTTTTATTCCATCAGTGGCTCTTTATGGGAACCAAAAGAAGGAAGATCGTAAATATGGTTGCATCGAAATAATCTCTGCATTGCAAGTGAAAACAGGTTTGAAGAGAGGAGACTCTACCTTTCTTGCAGCTATGATAGAGATCAAACCGGACCAGCTTGTTGAAGTTTCGGATTCTGTTGCTGAAATTCTAGAGGAATTTGCAGAAGTGATGCCACCAGAACTACCCAAGCAATTGCCCCCTCGACGTGCTGTTGATCATAAGATAGAGTTGGAGCCGGGTGCAAGGGCTCCTGCTCAGGCCCCATATCGGATGGCGCCTTCAGAACTGGCTGAACTGCGTAGACAGTTGGATGAGTTGCTGGAGTTTGGCTATATTCAACCATCCAAGGCACCGTATGGCGCGCCAGTGTTGTTCCAGAAGAAGCAGGATGGCTCAATGCGGATGTGTGTGGATTATAGGGCTCTGAATAAGGTGACTGTGAAGAACAAGTACCCAGTGCCCAATGCCGCAGACTTATTTGACAGGTTGTCAAGGGCATCCTATTTTACTAAGCTGGATTTACGTGCAGGCTACTGGCAGGTGCGTATAGCAGAAGGAGATGAACCCAAAACTGCATGTGTAACTCGTTATGGGTCTTATGAATTTCTTGTAATGCCGTTTGGGCTAACTAATGCCCCGGCAACCTTCTGCAACTTAATGAATAATGTGTTTTATGACTACATCGATCGCTTTGTTGTTGTTTATTTGGATGACATTGTAGTCTATAGTGAGTCATTGAAAGATCACTTAAAACACTTGAGATTGGTTTTCTCAAAACTGAAGGAGTTTCAGTTATTTGTCAAAAAGGAGAAGTGTGAGTTTTGTCGCCAAGAAGTGATGTTTTTGGGGCATTGGATCAGTAAGGGCCATGTCAGAATGGATGAGAGAAAGGTGAAAGCCATCCTTGATTGGTCTGCACCTACCAAAGTGACAGAGTTGAGATCTTTTCTAGGGTTGGCAAATTACTACAGAAAGTTTATAAAGGGGTATTCCAAGAAGGTTAGTCCTTTAACGGACTTACTGAAGAAAGACAAACAGTGGGTTTGGTCTGAGGAGTGCCAGAATGCTTTTGAGATGCTTAAGCAGGCAGTGTCTACAGAACCGGTCTTGAGACTGCCTGACTTTGGTTTGCCATTTGAAGTGCATACTGATGCCTCTGATAGAGCAATTGGTGGGGTTCTAGTCCAAGAAGGACACCCATGTGCCTTTGAAAGCAGGAAGCTTAAGGATGCTGAACAGAGGTATACAACTCACGAGAAGGAGATGACTGCAGTGATACATTGTCTTGACGCATGGAAGCACTATCTGTTGGGTACTAAGTTTACAGTGGTGACTGACAATGTGGCCAATACCTACTTCAAGACACAGAAAAAGCTTACTCCAAAGCAAGCTCGTTGGCAAGAGTTTCTTGGGGAGTTCAATTTTGTGTGGGTTCACAGACCTGGAAAGCAGAATCAGGTTACTGATGCCTTGAGTAGGAAAGAAGTGCAGGAGTATGTGGCGTCGTTGACAACGGTGTATACTGATTTCCTTGACAGAATCAAAGAGCAATCTCAGTCCGACAATGCCTATCAGAAACTAAAGCAACAGGTTACTGATGGTGAAGTCAGAAAGTACTGGATTGAAGATAATCTACTCTATGCCAGAGGAGGTAGATTATATGTTCCTGTTGGAGGTTTGAGACGGGAACTAATGCGGGAAATGCATGATCCTCAGTGGGCTGGACATCCAGGGGTGGATAGAATGCTGGCGTTGATATCCAGATCATATTACTGGCCCAAGATGGAGGATGACATAGAGTTATATGTCAAGACTTGCTTGGTCTGTCAGAAAGACAAGTATGAA